AAAACGTTGGTAGTAGAAACCTAAATGTTGCCAGGCACTGTTTTTCCACTGTTGGAGGACTGCATTGGCCGCGATTTCTGACGCCCCTATTGCTAAACTTATCTTCACACAAGGACCCTGATGCACCAGTAAAACAGAATCCCTGTACGCGCAGCGGGACGTTTGATGGTCCTATTCGGGTTCCAGTTGAGTCCCGTCGGGACTGCACATACTTACTTTTATGTAATAAGCAAACTGAACTAAATAAATTACTGGAATGATAAAGTACGCTAAAAGCCATTTAATTGTGTATTTTTATACCGGTTAAATCAGCTCAAATGTTAAGTGAACCAATTTCACATGCGTATGTTCAGCGGCGCTCTCCATTGTTCGCCATGCAAAGTGTAGACTTAGATCACCCGTAAATTTTTCCGGTCAGTTTCGCGGGCAATAATAATCACTTCGTGCGTTATTTATAATAGTTAACCAATTGGTTTCCCACGAAAACGCTTCAACGTCTATAAACGCTAGTATTTGTGAAGTGTAATCTGCGAAAGAGTGATGACCGTAAGTTCAATTCTTATTAGATATGAATTATTTTTGACGCTCTCATAGGTGCGAATAAAATGCATGTTGGTGATCTACAATTTGGTCGGTAAGCGTGATGTATTAGTTTAGCACACTAAGCATGGCCGAAGTTAACAAGCGTTTACGAATTCAATCGATCGGGCTCATCGAACATTTCCCAGAGCAAGAGCGGATTGAGAGGGAGGTCCGGTACGAGCGAATGTAGTACAATGTCACCTTCAGAGAAAAGTGTACAGAGGGCCAAGCGCACGATACAACTCACCGGAAATTGTGTCAGGTTTGAGATCATATGTGTTCTCCAAACGGAGGGCAATAAAACAAAATAGGGCCTTCACATGAGTCAGGAGAGTGATGTTTGTAAGTGAAAATAATGTTATTACACAGATCCCTCGCTAGGAGGTTGGAGAGGAGCGGCAAACCTTCGAATAGTCAAATAATTACGGTGTATATGTGTGTAGGTAACACGACTGAGTGTATAATATACGAGGATCGAATGGTAAACCAGTCTGTGGCAACTGACTTGGGAAAACGGTCAACAAAGATACGTGTGTGTGGATGTCGTGCAGAAGCTGCGTGATATAGAGGTTCC